GTGTGGGAGGGGACCACACAAAGGCACGAACGCCTGCATGAGGCACCACTGGGGCCATCTTGAAGGCTGGCTGCCGCAGCTCTGTCTTCCAACTTCTGTTGTTTCTTTTCTCCTTCTCCTCTGTGGGTGCCCACATTTTTAGGGCTGCCCCTGTTGGCAATCTCCCATGAACCCAATTCAAATAGTGTTAAAATGGTGTTTCTTGGCTCACGCTGTCCACTCCCTGGGTACCACTTCTGAGTTGGCTTCTAGACTCCAGCTGCTTAAGGCATCAGCCCCTCCCACTGCTGTGTGTTGCCGTTGCATTTTGCTCATCAGGAACATGCATCTTGGTCTTCGAGTTTGTCAGTTTTATTTTCTTGTTTTATATCTTTTCTTTTTTGGGGTAAAAGAATATGTTCTATATCCACACAAACATACCAGCCACTTGACTTGAAGGGTCCACTCGCCACCATCTTCCAAAAAGTAATTGACACTTTTAATCTGGTTCTGTCTTCTCACCTGTTTTACTTGTGTTGTGACTTGATACTTTTTTTATTCTTTATCCATCATCTTATTCTGGTTTTCAAAAGGAGAGGACATAAAGGTAATTTAGTCAACTATCTTCCTGGATTAACTCACATACGTAAGTGAGCCTGATTTTCCTGCTTTATTCAGGCTAGGACTGCTACTCAAGCAGTGTCCATGTTTCCAGGTAATGTGACATCAGAGTCTTCCCCAGAATCCAAAGAAGGCTTCCATCTGGGAAAGTGGTCTTGTCCCAGCTTCCTAAGGTTCTTCCTTGACCACTTTAAGGTTCACAAAGACAAAATGGATTTTCTCCTGTGATTAAGTACAAGGTTTCTAAAAACTCCTAGCAACCCTCCCAGAACCAAACTGAAAGATGTAAGACTTTTAAATTCACTTTGGATTGGCCGCTGGTACAGTGAGCCAAGTAGCAGCTTGTGGAAGCAGTGAAGGCGTATGGCCTTTCCCCACACGGACAAGAGCTAAGGGCAGCTCCCCCAGGGAGACCAGCCCCGTCCGGAGGAGCCCGCTCTGGAGAGATCACTAGGACCCTGAAGTGCTGGGTTCAGTGGTCAGTTGGCAGATGCTCATTCACTGATTATCAAATGAAAAAGGGAGAGGTGAGTTTTGTATACAAGTTACATTTTACTTTTTGAGCAATATTATCAAAGATATTTTCTTAAAGATGTGATCTTAACACAGGCAAACCAAGCAAGCAAACTAAGGGGCCTCATCTCCCAATATGTGTCTCTGCCTGCAGTTTTAAAAGTTTCTGCTGTTTGAAGTTTGAATTTCTCTACCATTCTTGGCATTTGTGGCAGATGTGTGTGTATGTGTGTGTGTGTGTATGATAAGCATTAGTTCTCTTGCAGATACTAACTACTATATATAAAAGATAAATAACAAAGTCATACTGTACAGCACAGGGGATTATATTCAATATCTTGTAATAACCTATAAAGAAAAAGAATATGAAAAGGAATATAATGTATGTATAACTGAATTACTAAGCTGTATACCACGAATTAACACATTATAAACTGATAATATTTCAATGAAAAAATAAAATAAAATAAAACAAAATAAAAAGCATTGGTTCTTAAAAGACGTGTCAGTTACAGGATAGATTTTTTTAAATTAATTTATTAGCATGCCTTATGCAGTATGAGATTAACTTGCTGTCATCTTTCAAAGAGAAAACTGTGCAGCCGTAGGTCACTGAGCAAACAGTGGCCGACCAGAGCGATGGGGACGGAGGAGAGAGGCAGTCAGACCTAGTTGAACGCTTCACAAAGTCATGTCTGAACTGACCACGTAGATTTTCACCAGACTAAGGTGAATAAGAAAAATAAGATTTCTTTAAGAAGGAAAGTTTTCATTTTAAAGGAGCATCTTGTATTCTGTGAGCATGTACTTGTTTCCTTTATAGTTTTTTTTAATTAATTCATTTATTTTTACAGGATGATGACTGGTAGATGATAAATTCACTGTTGATTGGTGGGTGGGGAGGGTTTCATTTGCTCGTGGTTATAAGTGGTCATTATCCTTAAGAAGCAAGTTAGAAATAAGACAATCCTTGTCCATTTTAAAAATTATTTTATTTTACAGCTCTAAAAAGTCCAAAACACTAGGAAATTTGGGATTAGATAATCTGCTGGGTTCTTCCAATATCCAAACTTCATATCCTTGGACTGAAGTGTGATGGAGGGGAGGAGGGGCTAATAAGGGTGGATGGGAGGAAAATAGAAAAATTCTTGTCTGATACTTGGAGGCAGAAAACCATCTCTCACTGGAGCTTGGAGCTAATAAATTCCTTGGTTTCGATCTTAATTTGTTTAGTGTAACTTTCATACTGCCACTAAAAGATATAATCAAGATCATTGGCACCAGAGGTTAGCAAGCTTTTTTCATAAAGGGTCGAGAGGCAAAGTCAAGTCTATTCTATAGGTACCTATATAACAAAGGAGAAAAAACAAATACCCACAAGTATTTTAGTGATGAAATCCAAAACTTTACTTACAGACACCAAAATCTGAAGTTCACATAATTTCCACATATTACAAACTATTGTTTTTCTTTTGATTTTTTTCAATTGTTTGAAAATACAAAAACCATTCTTAGCTCGCAGGCTGTACAAAAAGAGACGACAGACTGGATCTGACCTGTGGGCTGCAGTGTGCCGACCTCTGGTTTATGCATCTGATTTCATGAACAACCACGTTCTGTTTATTGCTGGGATTTGATTCCATCATCGAAGCACAGGCACAGGGGGAAGGCGGGGGGGGGGATGCATATTCTCCCTCCTCCAATGCCCCAGGTGCCCGGAGGGCCAGTCAATAATAAAATACAGCTTAGAGTTGAGAATACGGCATGGGTCCAGCCACGTGGGTTCAGATTCCCCACCTCCATCCCTGACTGCCGCTAGCCTCTCCATATCCTGGTTGTCTTATCTAGAAGAATGGGCTAATAGGGCACCTGCCTCACGGAACTGTTACCAGATGTCAGGGAGATCGTGCACAGGGCAGAGAGCCCTGATGGGTGCTCCAAAAATGTTAATTACTGGTATCATTAGCCTGCTGATTGAAGTTCATTTTCTCCATAGCACCTTTTACATGGTATCTTGTAGAGTCTATTAATCTTACAAAAATGGCAAATACCTCTTAGTCCCACTGAACGTAAAACCTCTTAGGGCAAGAAGGGAAAAAAAAGAAGAGAGAGAGAGAGAACCAGGAGTTAATGATTATAGGTATAAATACCATTCACTTCTTCACGTGGGACAGCCTGAACTTCCTTATCGTGTTGGTTATTCCCAAATGTACCAGGGACCTCTGACTGCCACCTTCTTTGTCAGAGCCAGTGATCTGTACACTTGCTGTGGTCCAGAAAATCCAAAAACGGGTGGCTGGTTTAGGTGTCTAGACTAGTGATGGCTCTCTGGACAGAAAGCAGGAGTGGCAGTCGCAGTGAGATTTCTGCGCTATCCAAGTGCGGGGACGGTGGCTCCTGGGCAGGGAAGAAGGGGCCACTGCGGAAAGCGGGGCTTGGATGTCAACCTCCATCACTGGAGGGCACGCTGCCAGGGCTCATGGTCAGTTGCTTAAGGCAGACACGGATGGAGAGACCCAGCAAAGGACAGCTCGTGGAGTCTGTCTGGCAGCCCGCCCGACTCCGTCAGCTCTTCTTTTCACACACAGAACTTTCGCCTCTGGCTATTGGCTGGGCAGAGGGTCAATAATCATAATGCAAAATCAACAGGGCTGCTCAGTAGAGTGTTAACCAGCTTTGAACGCTGCCAACTTCCCCTTCTGCTAAACCAGGCAGGGCTGGGGTGGGGGAGGGGAGCCTGGAGGGAGGGCTGGGAAGGCCACTTCTGTTTCACTGGGATGCATGGAAACTGGGCATGCGATGCTGGGAGAGGCGAACGAGGAAACTACCAAGCTTACTTGGAAACTGTTTCCTGGCCTGTTAATGAACAATAAAAAATGTATGTGCTTAATCCCATCCCTTATTAGCTTGAGGAGTAAAAGGATAATTTTTATACTGCCTGCCAGTGCTGGAGGGGTGTAATTGTGAGACAGAGTTCCTCCCTGCAGACTAGTAAACATACTAAGCCCTCAGCTCCGGAGCATTTAAACAGCAATATTAAGTTAATCAGTTAGTAATAACGCACCTGATTGATAGCTCTCTGTAACAGCTGTAGGGGAGGAAAAAGGTTTTCTACACCTTCTTAGAGTTCCTGGCTGGGTCTGAAAATTAAGCTGACAAAAACAGAGTAACAGGAGGAAAGCATACACATTCAAGAAAATTTTTTTACATGTGCATGGGAGCCTTGGGAAGAGAATGGAGACCCAAAGAGGTGATAAGAGTAGGCAGCATTTAGACCTTTTAGACAAAGAAACAATACATTTGCGAAGAATTGATAAGACAAAGGGTGTGGGGTGTTAAATGCTGAAAAAGTAACTGGGAGATGAGGGCTAATTTCACAAGGTTTGTCTGCAGATTCCTCTAGTGCCATCTCTGGGCTGAGAAGATTCTGTCTGAATGTAGGCAGAAAAGAGGGAGTTTTTCCTGCATTTAGTGATTCTTTTTCATTTCTGTTTGTTTCTTTTTATTTTGTTTTTAAATTTTTATCTATTTAACCCTTAATGGAGGTGATGGGGATTGAACCCAGGACCTTGTGCACGCCAAGCACACGCTCTACCACTGAGCTATACCCCCACCCCCATTTAGTGCTTGCTCATTGCCTTCAGCTCAAAATAATTTCTGTATCAAAGAGGAGAATTTTGGGGAGATGTGTACTGGTTTTCTTCACAGCCCTCAGTAGGCATCTTATGTACACGTCTAAGTGCTTTACCAGTGTTAGTCCACTTGACCCCACCTTACAGGTGTGAAAACTGAGGCACTGGGAATTACCTCAAGTCAGGTAGCTTGGCAGAGCTGGGATTTAGACCCAGGAAGTTTGCCCTGGAGCTGGTACCCTTAACCCCTCTGCCACATTGCCCAGAACAGAAGGCTATGTATAGGCAGTAAATGGACGATACTCGGGTGATACATGGGTGATACACTGGCAATTAATGGGTGATACATGAACAATACACGGGCACCACAGGCATTGAAACAGAGAGAAGTGCAAGAGCTGACTGATCAGCATTCCCAAAAGTGCTGGCTCCTTTTGTAACATAATCGATTTGCCACATTTCATTTAGAAGCTTCAAGTCCCATTGGGATTTCAAACCCCAATGTTTATTTTATTAAACAAGTAAAACAAATTGTTTCTAGGCTCGTGTACAAATCATATTTGGTTAAATAACTAATATAGTTAGTGTGCTCTAAGACAACTGTTAACAAGTACCACTTAATTCATTTGCAGTTTAACAAAAATACTTTTTTGTCTCTCCTACTGTGGCCCAGGACTGGTACTTTGGCACCGGACAAACAGCTGCAGGAGGATATGTCAGGGAAGGCAGTGGCTAGTTCAGACTGATGGAAAAAAATATCAGACATCAGCGTGTGTGTCCTTAGGTACAAGGTGGCACAGCAACAAAGGAGACAGGGACAGCTCCCAGTGACTGAGTCTTTTATAGAACACAGGGCACTCTGCAGGCACCCTGGTGACAACTAGATATTAATATCTTCCTTTCCAGGTGCAGTAACTTGGAAGGATTAAGTAATTTGTCCAAAGCTCCAAATAGTAGCTGGCAAATCTGAAAATAGATTCCATATAGATCTGGCTGTAGGCCTGTGGTTTCTGGACTTCTTAACCTTTTAGAATTCTCTACTCTCAAAGTTTATTTTGCATTCTAAGTAAGGTCGTAAAAAAATGAATGTGACTGCTAAATGAATGGGTCTCACAAGTTTAACTGTTTAATATGCAACAGTGTTAAAACATCATGTAATCTTGGGCCACTTCCTGATGTGTTAATGGTTATTGGGGGCAGGGGAAGAAAAGCCATGAAGTCACTGTTAAGAGCTTTCGGCTCATGACAAATGATTTCTTACTTCATTAAGGTATATAGAAACTAAGAGGTACTTTACTGTTGGAAGAGGAAAAACCATTAAAATGTTGTTTAAGAAATATCCATCGTTATGATTTTATGAGTGTATGAGTTAGTACTATTTGGCCATACTGGTTTTTAAGTGCATTAGCATTTGAATACTAATTAATGGTTATATTCCATTAATACAATCATGGTGTTTCAAAAGCAATTCAAAAAAAAGAATCAGACTCAACAAAAGTGAAAACATGGCCACTGTCATCTTTTAGCCAAACAACATATTTAAAATATTGAATTATGAATATATATTTGAAAAGATAAAAATTGATTTAAAGAAAAGGCACACAATTTAGAGAAATGAATGTCTTGAGTCTGGGGCTACTGTTGTCATCATCCAGAAACAGCGAGGTGCCTGATTTCACATGGCCCCGTGTGGGACTCTCTGCAGTCCTTGCTGAACATCTGCCAGAGCCGCCCTGACTCTAAGTTTGAGTTTATTCATTCAGGCGGAGGGAGCATCCACATGTCAGCAAAATCGTCATGTCCTCTGAAGTCCTCGTCAGTCCAATTGTGCAGATATATAGGCAGGCCACACCTTGCCAATTCAACTGAAAATTAAAGTTGGAACCGTTTTGGACCAGTTCTGCACACCTGGGCGCAGAAACACAGCCCTAGACCTGGCTCTGAAGTCTCGCCAACGGGGCTGACCACCTACATGTGGCTGACATGGCAGATGAGTGGATAGTACAGTAGATTCTCTCTCAGTGACTCTCCTTTTGACTGACAGCCCGACCGACCAGGTCTCTCCAGACCTTCTACGCAGCAGAGCAGCTGATGCCCACTGCCTGCTGCCCCCTGGTGACCCACAGGCTTTCCTAGCACACCAACGTACACCCGCTCCATGCTGGCGTTTTATGATTGCCAAGAGTTAGTGGTTTCTGCCAGTTGTGCTTATTATTATAACAAAGTAATTTAATTAAATATTAAATAGCAAATTGCTTAAATACAAATGCACAAGAAGACATGTCTCTGTGAAATCTATGTGGGAGGATTTGCTACAAATAAAATTGATAGAAAAACTGCTATTCACTTAAGCATGGCTGAGAAAACATTTAAAAAGTTAGACAGAAACATGGATTCATATCTGGAAGGACTTTGTACTCAGAATGCTCCACAGGCATCTTGAAGCAATTGGTCAGTTTCAAAAAAAAACCAAAACTGGAAATTACTGGCAGTGTTTTAAGGGTATGACTTAGCAAGAACGATGCCATAGAGTTCTGAACAGCAGCCCATTCCCAAAGGAAAGACCTTGGCTCTATTTCACAAGAGTGAAGAATTGGTGTGCATTTATATGTTTTAAGTTAAAATAAAATGCCTGAAGTGTCTATGTATCTGTTTAATTTTTATTGAAGTATCGTCAGTTTACAATGTTGTGTTAATTTCTGGTGTACAGCATAATGATTCAATTAAACATATATGCATATATTTCTTTTCATATTCTTTTCCATTATAGGCTATTACAAGATATTGAATATAGTTTCCTGAGCTACACAGTAGGACCTTGTTGTTTATCTGTTTTATATATGGTAGTTAGTAGCTGCAAATCCAGAACTCCCAACCTACCCTTATATCCGCCCCCCTTTTCCCCTGGTAACCACAAGTTTGTTTTCTATGTCTGTGAGCCTGTTTCTGTTTTATAATTAAGTTTATTTGTGTCATTTTTTTAGATTCCACATATAAGTAACATCACATATTATTTTTCTCTTTCTGGCTTATTTCACTCAGTATGACAATCTCCAGGTCCATCCATGTTGGTACGAATAGCATTATTTTATTCTTTTATGGCTGAGTAGTATTCCATTTATATACAGACCACAAGTTCTTTATCCAGTCACCTGTCGATGGACATTTAGGTTGCTTCCATGTCTTGGCTATTATTTGTTTTTGATTCCTGGCTTTCACTAACTTTTCCAACTAACCAACCAACTGGCTCCAAACTATCAAATAAGGGCTCATATGAAAACAATGAAACCAAATACAAGCAAAAGCTAAATATGTCACCCCTGAAAGTTCAAGATCCAAACTCAGGGACAGTAATGTAAAAAATCAGGTACTGTAGTTTTGATGACAAAGAACAGGGATCACAGGTGCTGTGGGTGGAGATAGGAGGCCAGTCCGCAGGCAGGAGGGGATTCAAGGGAGCAAGCGTTCACATGCAGAGCCCCACATGGAACTCTGGATGCAGCCGGATGAGGTTGGGAAATTACGCTGTAATTAGATAATGATATACTCTTGTTTTGGGGACATGTGTGCAAAAGTATTAGGGGTGAAGTGCCATGCATGGTGTCCAAGGTCTACTTTTGAATGGTTTGGCAAGAAAGTGTGTGTGTTTGTGTAGAGAGAGAGGAAGACAAATAAGAAACACAGTGAGTGGCCGGGACAGGATGTTAACAACTGGTAAACCTAGAGAAGATATAGAGGTATTTATTGGCCTGTTTTTCAGTTCTTCTGAGGGTTTAAAATTTTTCCAAAACATTTTTATATTGAAACAACTAACAACTGGTTAGCCTTGTGTTAATTTTAACATGTATTAAAATAGCCAAGCTTGTAGTTTTGTTCTTATTCCAGCCATAACTGTTCATAGCTCATACACAGAGAGTCTGTACACATTTATATAAAAAACATCTTAGTCACGGCAGTCCACCAATAGCCACATATATCGTATGTCTTGAAATTCCAGGACCAATGTGGATATGAACCGATCCCAGGGCTCCATCTACTCATTGACCCATTCAATCAGTCCACAAGCTTTTGTTCAGGAATATTATATACCAGGGTTGCCAGTGTGAACAAGATTGGACAGTCCCTTCTCTCCTGGGGCTTAGGGTCATCAAGGAAAATATACATTAAACATATAACAATGAGTGGTCCATGGAGGCATTTAGAAGGGGGATCTGATCTAGCTCGGAGGAGTTCAGCAAACATTTATTTACTCAAGCTAAGACTGAAAGATTCCCAAGAGTATATAGTGACTATGACTTCTACTCCAAGAAATGAAATTAAGATGGCCTCTATGCACCTTCTTAAGGGTTAGAGGATTGCCAATTTGCCTCCTTCTACCTGTGGTCCAGAGATGCTCAGCATCCAGGTATTGGGTGGTGTCTGGGAGGCAGAGGAGTCAGAGATGCTCACAGTCTCCGTGAAACAGTGGCCGCCATGCTGTGTAAGCCTGGGCACCGGGTCCTTGCCCAGGTCAAGTCCAGCTTCCTCGCCCCAGTATCTGGTCCCCTGGGGTGTAGGGCTCGGCCTTTCCTTTCTGAGTCCCTGATGTCTCCTCCAGACGCCGTGTGGGAGCAGCATGCTGGTCCTGCCACTCTTGGGACTGACCTCAACAGGTCCTTATGCTTCCAGCAACAAAAGCTAGGAGAAATCTTGTCTTCAGGCAGCTTTTGCTTTCAGCCCAGGGGCAAGAGCATCCTTAAAGTGAGGCGCACACAAACCTGGCTCCTTTCTTGGAATGAGAGGGGAAAAGGCATCACCAGCAAAAAGCAGGTGTGCAAACTAGTGTCTCAAATGGCCTAGTGTTCAGAAATCTGTAGAGAATTAGTTCTATCCTACAGACTGGGGTTTAGGTGTTGGTTCAGATTGTGGTATCAGAATCGCCCAGGGGGCTATCACAGATTCCTGAGACGCATCTCCAGGGTTTTTTGACTCAATGGCTGTAGGGTGGGGCCAAGAGTTTGCATTTCTGGCAAGTTTCTAGGTGACACTGAGGCTGCTGGTCTGGAAATCCACACTTGGAGAACCAATGAATATGAATATACCTGATGAGAACACTAAATTTAGTAGATATTTAGTATACTTAAATTTGTGATTGAAATGAACACAAAAGCTTCAAAACTTAGAAAGACAAGGTTAAAATAATTAAGTCAGATATGACTTAATGACCCCAAGCATCTAGGAGGGAAAGTGGGAAAATTTAGTCTTCCAAAAAAAATACCAAATAGCCAACTCTTGGGGACAATATAGACTCCTTTTCAATGAATTACTTTCCATTCATATAAATTGTGCTGCGTGTAAATGTGGTGAGGGTCAATGGTGAGTGTGAATATTACTGTGGACTTCACTTTCTTGAATAACAGCATTGCCTACTACTGCCCTAGGCTTAGAAAATCTATTAAATTAAAGATATTTTTGTTTGTCTATTTTTATTTGTATTGCACAAACAGGGTCCCCACTTTGAGACTATCTGAGGCAATTTCTTTTTATTTTTCCCACCAACCAGCATGTCTCCTAGCCTTTCCCTGCCTCTGCTGTCAATGAATTTTTTTTTCCCTGGGGAAAACAATTTTTAGTTAATATTAACACATACCCCAAAGAAGATAAATATATAGCCATAGAATGTGGGTCAAAAATTTTTTAAATACACTATTTGAAATGATTTCTCTCTTCATTCCTCTCTGCTGGCAGAAAGGAATTAAAAAATTGACCTATGTTAAAGCTGGCGTGTGCATAAGTGTGAAAGCTGTGGTTGTAAGTCTGTCGAAGTGACTAGTTAAATGGGTAAGAGCTCTCAAGTTCACAGCTAAATTTTTGGTTTTGTTTTTTAATAAGAAAAAACATTTTGATATGAGCATCAGTGAATTAGTTTGTTCTTTAAAACACATCATAGGTCCTGATGATCTTTTCTCAGTCTTGAACATTATTTCAGGAAAAGAAAACCTTAGAATTACCTATAGAAAATATCACCATTTATCTTTTGTATAGCACAGGGAGCTATGTTCAATATCTTCTAATAACCTTTAGTGGGAAAAAACATGAAAACAAATAAATGCATGTATATGCATGACTGGGACATTGTGCTGTACACCAGAGATTGACACATTGTAATTTAATTACACTTTAATTTTAAAAAATCGCCATTCAATATACACAAATATATATAAGTCCATTTTGTTGAATCCAAGAAATTTGCAAACATTTGAGCACTTCCTACCCACAACAATGGCAATTTCAGTTTAACTACATATTGTTCTGAAAAAGGGGATAGCTGACTTGATCTTTTCCATAAATGAATTAGTTGAAATTCTTAAATACAATAAAAATGATGCACACTTATCTATCTGACAGTTCTCCTATATACATCTCACTTTGTTTTTTCTACTCTTTTGTGGGGGAGGTAATTAGGTTTATTTATTTATTTTTAATGGAGGTACTGGGGATTGAACCCAGGACCTTGTGCCTGCTAAGTGTGCGCTCTACCACTTGAGCTGTACCCTCCCCTCCATCTCACTTTTCTACTCTATTTGTATTGCTAAATGTCTTACAGCATCACAGGGCTCCTGATAAATAGTGTTCGATGCTCAAAGAACAGAAAAACACATTTGTTTTTGTTCTGTCAGTCGGGATTCATTAAGCCGTTTTTAAACAAAACCCTTTCTCTTTCTCTCTTTCTAGGGCTGTGTCTGTAAAGACAAAGGCCAGTGCTTCTGTGATGGGGCCAAAGGGGAGAAGGTAAAAACAAAACCTTAATTCTGCTTCTTTTCTCCACAGAGCTCACCAAGGAATTTACATTCTTCTTTCACTTGCAGCAGAAAGATCAGCAGTATGATATTCCATTCCCCAAATCCAATTTTAAAGTAATTGTATATAAACATTAACCTAGGGTGGGGGAGAAAGGAAGCTTCAGATAATTTGTGGAAATACAGGCAGTTGCTGTAACTCTTGGTCTGTAAAGGAAAAAAAGAAAAAGCTTATGAGAATGCTTCCAGATGTATACCTTAATTACATTGTTGCTAAACACAGAGGAACACTGAAAACAACTTGATTCGCTCACTTGGACATAAAATAAACATTGAAACCCGCAGATTTTGTCCTCGGGCACTGATGCAAGGGCACCCCCTGGTGGAAGCATCTTTCAGCAGCACTCTAGCCGAGGCAAAAATTCAGCGAGAGGAAGTGGCTCCATTGCAGAATCCAAGTAAAAAATGAGTGCCGTGAAATCTCATTAATTCGCTCCATTAACTTGCAATTTGTGATAATTAAGACAGAGGCAGAACTAAAGTTTTTCCTTTGTTTCAAAACCCTTTTCTCAGATACGCTAATGAATTGCTTAACAATACTGAAAGGTGACTGCTTAAAAAATATTTTTTAAGGAACATACTTTCAGCTCTTTAGACAAAGTAATTTACATACAATTTTGTATGCTAATTATAATAATTACTATATCTATTTTAAGTTATTCTATAACTCATGTGTAGTTTGATTTAGAGTTTTCCCTGAAGCTGTGAATGTAGTGTATTCAGATCCATGCTGGAAAGCTAGGGTTCATTCTTGCATTCAAGAAGCATGTATTGAATCCCCACTTCCTGTGAGACGCTGTTCAAGGTATGTGAAGGTAACGGAGCATTGAGAGGGGCCTAGCACATTCTTTTATTTCTTTTTTTACTGAGTGTTTGTGCAATCGCTGACCTGACCTCTCGTTTTAAAAATCTGATTTGTTAACTGTGTAAGTAGCTTGACGGAATCCGCCGTGGCCTTTACTGTTAAGGGGTAACCCCAGGGAGATTGTTGGCAGAACCATGTCACTCATTGGGCCTAAATGCCTTTCGCTCACTCGGATCCCTGGGGGCTTTCCCATATATCATCTCTTAACTATTTGGCTCACACTTTTGGTTTTGTCATTCTTGATACCTCTCCTGTGTCTCCTACACAAACAGCGCCTTGAATTCCTAATTCCTGTGTAATCGAGAAAGGACTAAAGCTCATAGCCTGTGAGCTGTTCTTTCAAGGTGCAGAGCAGTTCTGCACACTCGCCAAATGCACTCTTGTGTCTGATCTTCACTCTCTGTCCATCCCCCCAAAAAGCACACTCCATCAACCTCCATCTGTCTAACTGGGGTTTCCCCTCAGTTCTTGATTCCCTCTGCCTTACTCTGCTCTGCAGAGTGCTGCCATTTGGGTAAAAGTAGGATTTCTACCAGACCAAGGGCAAACACTTCCAAGCCTACAGACAAAGAGTAACAGCTAGAACTTTCCAGTTACTGTTATACTTACTGCTGAGTGCTGTTTTTTTCTTTTTAATCCAAGGAAAAATATGCACAATGTTATTATTTAAGTCATAAAGAAAAGAAAGCAATGGATACGGGTGTGTTTATTCCTGGGCCTTGCTGTTCTGTGTTTATCGTCTTGTTTTGGTTTTAACAGGGAGAGAAAGGCTTTCCAGGGCCTCCTGGTCCTCCTGGCCAGAAGGGATTCCCAGGTCCTGAAGGCCTGCCTGGACCGCAGGGACCCAAGGTATGTCAGCCAGTAAGCTTGAAAAACCCCCAGTCCGCTTAGCCTTCTTTATGCCTCCGCCAGGGCTGCTGAGAACCTGGAGAGAAATCCACACCTCAGCGGGTAGGTGGTCGCCGCGGCAAATTCCTGCTCCGGTCTTTGCTGGGTCTTCTCAGCTGCACAACTACATCTTATGTGAAAAGGATGCAAGTAACTATCATTATCTTCCAGCTCACCCTCCTCCTCCTGTCTGATCTTCACAGCTTCCACACCTGCATGGAAGGATTAGTTCTTCTTACTTTCCAATCAGGACCCGTTCCTCTGCCTGTCTCCTAGTCACGGGGATTCCCACTAGAACCGTCTTCCAAGGGTGTGTCCTCTTTCTCAGACATTCTAACTTCCCTTTCGATGTGAGTTTTTCTCTCTTGGTCTTTAAGCATGAAAATATTCCCCAGACCAATAGAAAACTTCCTGTAGATCTTTTAGGTCCTATAACCAAACCATTGCCATTTTTTCCCTTGTCTTTCCTATCTCTGTCAAGCATCTTTCAAAAACAAAGTAACTAACCATGCCGGCTGTGGTTCATCTCTATTCACTCCTCAGTCAGTGATAATTTGCCTTCTGCCCCCTCCCCTGAAAACCCATGACCTCCAGATCATGTATGACCTCCAAAAAGCCCAGGCTGAAGGAGGCTCTGTGTCTTTACCTGACCTGGACCCCTCAGCTTTGTTTCAGACTGTGAGCATCACTCTCCTCCCCCTGAAACATGTGTCTTTGTGTCTGGAATCCTCCTTTCTTTGCTTCCCTTCTCCCCACTTCCTCTTCTCTTAAACATCAGGCATCCTAAGGTTCTTACCAGAGCCTACCGCCTTTCACAGCCAGCACACACTTTTATCCTAAAGTCTGTGAGACAACAAAGGGCTTTGTTGAAATAAATGCCCTAGAGGATTTGCTAAAAGCTGCATAACCACTGGATTTGCTGATGCCTCTTTCCTGCTGTGGACTTAAGCCTGGGCTCTCACGCACCCACTGGGCCCCTCCCCAACTGCTGGCCTCCAGGAAGCTGTGAACTAACGCTTAAGTTATGAAAGATAATTATAATTGAGCCCCACAGAGCCTTTTTACATTCCATAAGTAATGTATAGAATATTTAAATAGTAAGCAAAGGCAACATTTCCTGGGAGTTTATCGTGAGTCAGGCATTGGGACATTTCTTCTTGACTGTATCTCATTTACTGCTCACCTGGACCCCGTCAGTCGTGACTACGGGGACCTAGGTTATTATCTCCATCTTAGGGATGAGGAAACTGACACTCAGAGCACTTAAGTAATTAGTCCTGGGTTACACAGCTAATAGACGGCAAAGATCCGAGTTCAAATCTGGTTTTATATGATGCCAGAATCAAACACCTGTAACTAAGGAAACTAAGACCATATCTACAGCTTCCAAGTAAAACTGCAAAAACGTATTGTTTTCCAGGAATTCTACCACTTTGTTGTGTTTGTGTATGCATTCTGTTCCTTCATTTCTTCTTCTTTTAATCTGAATTTTGAAAAAGTCTTTTGGATTCTGGATATTTAGTGTTTGATTTCAGACACGTTCAAGGTGGGAACATTTTGGGTATGGACTCAGATTTCCCTCCATTTCACTAATAGAAGGAATTTGTCACTTCAACCCTGGACTTAAGATCAGCCTCATGCCAACTCCTTCCTTTTTGTTTTGTTCTCTATATCCCACTCTGCCTGTTTCCTTAGCATATCTTTAAAGAAGCCAGCGATAAATTAAAATTATAGCTGTAAAAGCTATATGGTGCTTAGTATGGGTTACATGATGAGCAGGTGTTCCATAAAGTCAGTCCAGAAGATCTGTGGACCGTGTTGTCATAAATTCATAGATTACAGTGTCATGAGTTCATGTATATTAAAGCTTACAGACATAGCCACACATGATCATCTGATCCAAGGCAGACAATGAGAGAATATTCAAAAGTGACCAAAAAGATTTTTCAGGTTTATAAATGTCATATCTTAATTTTAGATATTTTCTGCATGAGAAAATGTCTAATGGGGAAGTAAAACCTGCCAGTCACTCTTCTGCCTCCTACAGATGACAAACAGCAGCCAGCAGAAGAAAGAAACGTGGTCAGGCGCCCAGGAATTCAAAATTCGCACTTTTAGGAGAGTGATGGAGACGTTAGCTACCTTGATTGTGGTGGTGGTTTCGTGGTTGTGCACATCTATCAAAGTTCATCAGATTGTACATCTGAAATATGTGTCGTTTACTGTACAGGAATCACACCATCATAAAGGTGTTGAAAAAAACTGAGGGAAAATAAATATAATAATTCAATTAAAAAAATACAACAACAACAAAAAAGATAAAAGAAAAGAAAGGCTGGCTTTGGCCTTGGCGGTCCAGTCTGTAACAACCCTTCTCTCAAATAATCCGAAATACCGAAACGTATTGAAACTCTCAGGAATGATGAAAAGTTTTTGGACAATGCAACTTTTACACCAAGTGGCCCAGTTAAAACAGTTTTGTGTGAGGCAATTCTCCAAGAAGCAGGCCCTCAAAATGTACGCATTATGTGCTCAAAGCAAGTTTCTCTCTGGGCCAGGCAGTCCTTATTTGTGGCCACCAGGCACGTTTGGTTAATAAAGTATTTCTCGTGCACAGAAATACTGGCTGCCCTTCCCGTCCGTTGCAATTGTGTCATTCATCCTTATCAGCCCTCGGCAGGCAGCTGTCTGGCTAATGTGGGGCTTTCACAGCAGCCCGTCTCAGACACTAATGTGAACAAGAATCATCATCAAATCTTGTTGAAATGCAAATTCTGAATCAATAGGTCTGGGAGGTGGGGGAGACCAGCGATGCTGCGTTTCTAACAAGCTCCCAGACGGTGCTACTGTTGGACCCCCCACTTCGAGTAGCAAGGGTTTGAATGGATTTTTGTTTGTCCTTTCTGATAAATACTGTAGCTCCAATGAAACAAGCAAGCAATTGAACCGTGTTAACAATGAAATCATCACAACCGCAAAACTGTTTGGCGTGTGAATAAAACTGGGACCTTTAATTTATGGGCTTATTAGTGCCAAATAATGGTCACAGTGCTTACCTTTTGTTTTTTCATTTGGATTTAGGGCTCCCCAGGACTTCCAGGACTCACTGGTCCCAAAGGCGTGAGGGTTAGTAGTCCAAACAGTCTCTCGTGATTCTTTGATGAAAATCCATTTTTTTTTTAAAAAAAAGAAGAACTCTGCCCTGTTAAATGTCACAAAGGAGTATGTTGTGTATGATACACTCGTATAGGTGAAGTTCAAGAGCAGGTAAAATGAGTCTATAATGGTAGAAGTCAAAATAGCGGTTCTTGTGTCGGGGGTAAGTATTAATTGACTGGGAGAAGGCATGGGGGAACCATCTGCGGTGGTGGAGAGGTCTTGTGTCTGGATGGGGTGGAGATATTACCAAATATATGCATATGCACGTATGTGAACATTCCTCAATCTGTTTGCGGAAGATTGGAGCACTTTACTGTATGCAAATTATACCTTGAAACTCTATCCCAAAAAGCCAAAACAGTCTTAATCATCTCTTTTTAAGTTTATATAAATGTAAGATGTACAAAACTCGTCGAGCTTTTTTTTGTTTTGTTTTTCAAATAGTTTTTGGTTATTCCCAGTTAGAGCTGTGGGATGGGGTTATTGGAATGGTAAATCGCTTTTTGTTTATAGGTTGAACATTTTTAGCAGTTTTTCTGCTTTTTGTTTACTGCTCCCTTTTCTCTTTTCTATGCCTTTAGGGAATAACTGGATTACCAGGTTTTTCAGGTCCTCCCGGACTTCCAGTAAGTAATGGGAAAAATGTGTAAATGGAATAGTAAGAAGTAATCTCATTTTAATAAAGATGGTAAAGCAATAACACAAGAAAATAAGTACTGATACACTTGCTACATGATGCAAACGTCACAGCAGGATCACGCCGTATATTACAGTGTGGATTTAAAGGACATACAAGTCAAATTGTAAAGCAGAAAAGAATGGAATAGATTGGCCTGGGATGAGACGGGATGGGTTGGAATGGAACAGAATAAAATAGAGTAGAAATAAAATAGTTACCTCTGTTTACACTTCCCTCATTTCTTTCCTTTCCCCCAGTTTAACACACAGCATATTAATGGACTCATTTCATATAGAAAATCCTTCTCTTTTATTTAAAATATCTGTATTTCACTTAATTTTTGCTTTTATTTAGCCCATTTTGCTACGATTTTTATTTAAATTATTATCTAAACTAACTAATTAACTACTTAACTACTTAAATAACCGTTTAAACTTAAATAACTATCTAAATTAGTGCATCTTTTCCCTCCCCATGGGTTCCTCACTGTTTCCACCTGGTCCTGGGACCTAATCATATCCCATTTTTGAGCCTCACTCTGTTTTTTAGGGCATCCCAGGACACCCTGGACCTTATGGACTTGCTGGTTTGCCAGGATGTAATGGTTCTAAGGTATGTGCTTCTCACACAGGAGATGGTTGGTAAGGTTTTGCTAAATGAATAAATCAGGGCAGAGTAGAAAAGGGCTAGGCTTTCTTTTAGCCAGAAACAATGAAATGTGTCTTCAGGGCAGAAATGTAATGGTTTTCTCTCTTCTTATGCCTTTTTCTTTATTTTCTTCCAGTTTTATTGAGGTATAATTGACATACAGCACTGCATAAGGTCAAGTTATACAGCATAGTGATTTGACGTACATATATCATGAAATAACCCATCACCTCGTATTGATACGAAATTAAAGAAAACAAAAAAACTTTGTGTGTGATGAGAACTCTTAGGATTTACTTCTTAACTTTCATGTGTACCACGTTGTACATTACATCCTTATTTTTATCTTATAACTGGAAGCTTACAGGACCTTTTGATCACCTGCATCCAATTCCCCTTCCCCCACCCACCTTGCTTTCTGATTGTCTTTTTTTTAATTGACATATAGTCGATTTACAATGTTGTGTTAATTTCTGGTGTACAGCATAGTGATTCATTTATACTTACATATGTATATATTCCTTTTCATATTCTTTTCCATTATAGGCTATTGCAAGGTACTGAATATAGTTCCCTGTGCTGTACAGTAAGACCGTATTGTTGCCTATTTTCTGTATAGTAGTTAGTATCGGCAAATCCTGAACTTCCAATTTATCCCTCACTGCCCTCTTCCCCACTGATAACCATAAGTTTGTTTTCTATGTCTGTGAGTCTGTCTCTGTTTTATAAATAAATGGAAAAACGACATTCTCTCTGACAAGTGGTGTTGGGAAAGCTGGACCGCCACATATAAATCGGTGAAGTTCAAACACTCCCTCACATCACACACAAAAATAAACTCAAAGTGGTTTAAAAACTTAAATATAAGACAAGACACCATAAACCTCCTAGAACACAGGGAAAATATTCTCTGATACAAATTGTAGCAACGTTCTCCTAGTGCAGTCCACCCAGGCAGATAGAAATAGAAATGAAGGCAAAAATAAACAAATGGGACTAATTAAACTTATTAGGTTTTGCACAGCAAAGGAAACCATAAATAAAATGAAAAGACAACCTACAGAATGGGAGAAAATATTTGCAAATGATGTGACTGACTAAGACTTGATTTCCAGAATATACAAACAGCTCATACAACTTAGTAACAAAAAAACAAACAACCCAATCCAAAGATGGGCAGAAGACCTAAACAAGCAACTCTTCAGTGAAGACATACAAATGGCCAACAGGCACATGAAAAAATGCTCAATATCACTAATTATCAGAGAAACACAAATCAAAACTACGAGGTATCACCTCACACTGGTCAGAATGGCCATTGTTAAAAAGTCCACGAACAATAAATGCTGGACAGGATGTGCAGAAAAGGGAACCCTCCTACATTGTCGGTAGGAATGTGGTTTGGTGCAGCCATTATGGAAAACAGTAAGGAGATCCCTTTAAATGCTGAAAATAGACTTAACCCTATGATCCAGCAATCCCACTCCTGGGCATATATCTGGAGGAAACTATAATTGGAAATGACACCTGCACCCCAATGTTCATAGCAGCACTATTTACAATAGCCAAGACATGGAAACAGCCTAAATGCCCATTGATAGATAACTGAATAAAGAAGTTGTGGTATATATATATACATACACACACAATGGACTATTACTCAGCCATAAAAAAGAAATAATGCCATTTGCAACAACATGATGGACCTGGAGATCATCATACTAAGTGAAGTAAGCCAGAAAGAGAAAGACAAAAACCATACACTGTCACTTATGTGTTGAATCGCATTGTCTTTTAGGGAAATTCTCTCATGGTCTCCCACAGAAAGATAACTGGGGGCTCAAGTGGTTCTTTTCATCTGAGGTTGTGAGTGTGTATAAACCAGAAACTGAAGCTTGGAATGCAATCTGGGTCTTTGGAAAGGAATGCCTGAGCTTTTCAATGTTCACTCTTCTCCTTTGTTTCCTGACTACACTCTCTTTTTCCCCAGAATGGTGGCCATGAAAGAACTAATTACTAAAGTTTCGAGGAGACAGCAATTAAAAGGGCCCTTGGCACAATTAGACTTTTGCCATTTATGCACAATTTGAGAAACAGTAGAGTCTAATCCTGTTTTCAACTAAGATAATGGCGTTCTGGCTTTCAGCCTCGTGACCCAGGAGCCATAAGGAATTTGGGTTACTTTGTCTAGATTTACCACTGCAGGGTTGGAAGCGAGAAACAGGGAAAATACCTCAACAGGCTCTTCTAGAACAACTGGGAAGAATGACGAGCTGTGTTTGTCTTCCAGGGTGAACAGGGGTTTCCGGGACTTCCAGGGACACCAGGCTACCCAGGGATCCCGGTAGGTTTCCATTCCTAACTCCCCATTAAAGGCACAGTGTGTGACTACAACAAGTTTCCTTTGGAATGACCATATACAGAAATCCATCATGACCTTGGGGAAACCGGGGGCAGAAATGAATGTATACATGCGCTCAGGTTTGCACTTTGAGACTTTGTTTTGCGTTTGAGACATTCAAGTGGAGATGCAGAGCAGGAAGTGGGAGCAGCTCAGAGGAGGGACCCAGATGGTGGTGACTCCAGGAGTAACAGTGAGGAGGAAAGGGCCTTGGAACTGAGGCTTAGAGAGCTTGGCATACAAGTCTAGGTCAAGGAGAATGAGCCAGAGAAGGAGGAAGGCCCCTGGTGGTAAAAGAAAACCAGGAGGAATATGTTTCTGGGAGCCCAGAAAGATGTCGTTAAATAACAAAAATTCAGCTGAGTAGATCTGACGGTCTAATTGGCTTCATTGGGTGATGCATGAATCCAGCAGCAGCCCATCTAGCACGCAGAGAGGCGCTCCATCGAGCCATACACAGGAAAGGGTTTTAAAGGCAGAGAGGAAATGGGACGGGGACATTATTAGCAAAGAACGTGTTGTCTTAGTCAAGGTTGCTTCCTAAGGGGAACAGAAGGGGCCTATTGAGTAGAATACCTTATTGGTACCAAACCATCTTGGGTCCGCTTGCCCATGCGCAGTAAAGCCAATCTGCTGACGCCGGGTTGTGGTGAAGGAAAGTGCAGTGTTTACTGCAGGGCACCGAGCAGAGAGTCCAGGACAGCTAGTGCTCACGAAGCCTGAACTCCTCAACGCTTTTCAGCAAAGCATGTTTAAAGGCAAGTTGAGGGAGGGGTGTCCCAGGGTATGTGATCAGCTCGTGCACGATTCTCTGATTAGTTGATGGTGATGTAACACGGCAGAGTCGCAGGGGTTAACAGTATCAGTCCTTAGGGCTATGCGCTCATGGTCATCGAGTGGTGAGTTTCTTCCTTTTGGTGGGGGCTTTAGTGAAACAGCCCAGGAATGTGCACCAAATACTGTTACCTGGGTACTTCAGAGAGGAGCTGCAGCAAAGGATATGGGGTGAGGGTGGGGGTGTCTGTCCCTGGAAGGCCCCACTGGGGTCCTGCTCCATTACATTATCAGTGCTGATCAGGAAACTCCAGGTCACGTTCCTGGGGAAGGCTGAAACTGTGGTCACGTTAGGCAGTGAGTCTAGGCAGGTTGGTTAGTGGGTCTGCTGCTGTGGGAGTCACTGACATAAGCGACTCCATTTTGGACATTTCACCTCCTTTTTAACAGGAACTTTCAGTAGAGGCGAATGGCAGTCAGCTGCCGAGTCCAGCAAGAGGAGAACTAACATTTTGTCGTTGATTTCAGTAACAACACAGTCACTGCAGACTTCCTCAAGGGCTACTTCCATGCCTGATGGAGGCAGGAGGCAGATGTGGGCCTGAGGATGAAGCGGGGATGCACAGAGTGGGTGATCTGCACATGATATGAAGGAGAAATAGGCAGCATTGGTGGGGTGGGTAGGGAAGCTGAATTTAGGGAGAGACTTTGTTTAAATGTGAAAGATTTTAATGTTTAAAAGCCAGTGGGCAGTGTACAGCAGGAAGAGAAGGCAGAATAGCAAAGAGAAGGACAAAGCAAGGATGTTACGCATTTGAATTGTCTTTAATTATTGATATGCCTCTCCTTTTCCTAGGGTGCCGATGGTTTGAAAGGAGAAAAGGTGAGTTATTTGTGGCATATTACTGTTAAAGAAATCTCTAATTGTACATATGAAATGTACTTCTATTAAATAATAAGATATAAGTAATTGTATATCAGAATTCATATCTAATTCAGACCATAATAATCAGGAAATATTTATTCCTATTGAACAACTTCTACTTCCTGTAATAAATATGTTTTAAGGAATGCAAGTTTTGTACTATTCTTTCGGAAAATAGGGTCTGCGAGAAGAGAACTGACCTTATGCTCAGGGCCCCAGATTCTAGATCAGGAATTACTGTTTGTTTACTTTGACATCTTGGGAAATGGTTTATTATTCTTGTGTCTTTCTTTCCTCCACAGTAAACGGTCAGTTTCAGAAAATATAAAAATGTTTTGAAGTCTTTAGAATGGAATAACCAAATAATCCTAAAGCATTTCTATAAGTGTATATTCTGTTTTGCCTCTTTGAAGGGTGGAGGTGGGGAGGTTAATTAGGTTTATGTATTTATAAGGGAGGTACTGGGGATTGAACCCAAGACCTTGTGCATGCTAAGCATGAGCTCTCACTGAGCTATAGCCTCCCTCTTCTATTTCCTGGAAAGCACTTTTATCCTTGAGGCAAACTAACCTTGAATAACCATTTAAAGAAGTTTTGAAGATAGAACATTGACTATGTTTGATGAATTTCATTTTCAAGGGCGCTCCTGCTGAAGGAGAAGGTATAGACCTTGACGGAAAAGGTGACCCTGGCTTGCCAGGAGCTCCAGGGTTCCAGGTACGCGCTTCTGAGAAGATCCCTATTGTTCTCCATCTCTCCCTCTGCCTCTCTCTTTCCATCTCCTTTTTCTTCTTCTTTCTCTCACCCTCCTCTTCTCCCTATGTTTCTTTCTCACTCTTAAAAACGTTTTTCATAGACATTCACATTTCTTCTATTTACATATTTACCTCCTTTCATTCCAAAACATTTACCTTATTGTAAGAAACTACATTAAGCTCATGTAACCAGATGATTTTAATCTCTTCTTAAATCTCCATCAATCACCCAAGCTTTCCTAAATTTAAGGAGGGGTTTTCAAGGAATGGTTATGTCCCACTTACTCTGTATTTGTTGAAATTCAGGATAGATTTGTATCAAACGTTGAATACAATTTAAAACCTTAATATTAAATAACAGTGCTAGTGTGATGGTTGCATGATAGTAAGTAACATTGTATTTAAATACATCTCTCTCCTGTTGAATGGTTTGCTTTTGAATCTCTGCATATGTAGCCTGAAGGTGATCCAGAATAAGTACAAAGAAACAGCTATTTGGCGGGGGTGGGGGTAGTGGTGGGAGGGTTGGGGGTTGCTGTGTGTGCTTTGCTTTGTGATTCAAAACGATCTTTTGGTAAACCTAAGTCACAAGTACTAACTTTCAGGTTAATTAACTAGAAATGTTTTAACTTCTCCTGAGCAGAGGTTAGTATTTTCCTGAGCGAGTCAAAGAGCTTGAGTTAAGATTGTTGAACATCTGTATAGTGAGCCATACCAGCTGTTGAGGAGCTGCAAAACTGAAGAATGATGCAGTCGGGAGCCATTATGGGCTTTTGAGAAAAGATACAGAATATAACGGCTCTTGGAGTTTTTTGCTTAGAAAACATTTGAGGGGCAAAGATGCTGAAGGCAGAGCGTCCAATACAAGGAGGTATTGGGACACAGGTGCATCCCTTAAAAGTGTACTGAGTGTTGGGTCTGTACTACATTGTGCTACCGCTGAAGGTATAAGAGTAGGATGCTCAGTTACACACGAAATCCTTATCACATGCCCGTTAGGTACCAGGGGCTCTTTAAGCTCTGGGGATATCCAGAGCACAACTCCCAAAACATAGTTTTAAAAAACTCTTGCCTCCACAGCTCTTCCATTCTAGAAGGGGAAAGTCTTTTAAAAATATCAATTAGGAAGTGTGATTTGTGTTACATGGTAATAAATGCCAAAGGGGAAACTTAATGCAAGGTTGGGGGGCAGTAAGTGTCCAGGATAGAAGGAGGGTTGTGGTTTTCGATTGGATGGGCAGGAGGACCCCTTGGAAAGGAAAACATGTGAGTAAAGGTAAGAAGAGGGAGAGGAAGTACGTCATAGGGATTTCCGGGGGAAGAGGATTCTAGACAGAGGGAGAGCAGGTGGACGGCCCTAAGGTGAGATCGTGCTTGGCAAGAGAGAGATACAGAGAGGAAGGCAAAATGTCTAAATGTGTTAAAACTCTTCTAAAGTAAAGCAACTGCTTTGGTCATTTTTCTGGAAATAGTCCCATCAGGATGGTCCTGGCAGCCTGTTACACGTGGCAGTGCCGGCTCCACGTGGCCCTCAATGAAATTCACTACAGCCATAAATGGGAAACGTTACGCTCTGCAGTTCTTACAATAGTTAAATACATTTAACTAATGGACATGGTTCTTCAGCGAGAAGTAAATTTAAACTTACTCTTATTTTTCTCTTACTTTAAAGGGTTTGCCAGGCCTTCCCGGTTTTCCCGGACCTGTTGGTCCCCCTGGCCCTCCAGGATTCTTTGTGAGTATGAAGCCACCATTGGTCTAGACACCGTAACTAACAAAAGAATTGAAGCTAAAAATTTTAAACGGAGTTTTAGGCTTTGTGCATTACCTGCTGTAATTTTAACTGATGGATTGATTTTTCTAGGGCTTTCCAGGAGCTATGGGACCCCCAGGACCTAAGGTAAATTACAGTTCTTATGTGTATGATATGAATATCCTGACCATTCTAAAAGCCAAACTCAGTCTGATGCCACATGTGGGTCACTGCCAGCCCCTCTGGAACTCACAGGAATTCCCAGCAGGGAAGTGAGTGTGGCTGGCAGCTCTCCACCAATTACCTCTCTTCTCCCTGCGTTTCAGTAACCATTTCTGATACAAAGAATCTTCATTCAGTTATAAGGAGCTCCTTATCAGGAAAAGGGCAAGGATTCCTAGTCCACAGGTTTCTCATTTCTGATAATCCTACAGATCTCCCAACACTTTATTCTACTGCACTGCTTCCCCAAACCAACCTGATCCCATACTAGTAAATAAAAGATAACTATTCCTGTACGTGTTAAGCAGGGTCCTACATGTCTTTTTATTTTTGAAAGGCCAATTGTTAGTATTGGAGAAGATAAAAAAGCTATTTCTTCTGTCTTCTTAGGTTCACAAACTGAGTAAACAAGATTTAAAAAATGTTTATTTCATACACATATGGAGACCTCACAGAAATGTAATGAAAACCCCAAAGAAGCAATCAGACCCAGAGGCTTGAATACCATTTTAACAGAGGGTGATAAATTTGTGGAAGATTGACAAGACAAAGGGAAAGTGTTTTGAACTTCTGGGGGCAGTACATTGTGGGATGTTAAATATATGGGAGAACCTAATGGAAGATGAGGGTTATTTTGGTAAGGTTTGTTAATGCAGATTTAAGTCGCTGCTGGCTCCCATGGTAAGAGTTATCTTTTCTTCCTGGTACCGGGAGAGGGGAGGGATGACATCCTCTCAAAGGGAGATTTATGCCCTGCCTGGGGGCAGGTCGGGGAGGGGAGAGAACTTTTTCTTCATTTGCTGTTTCTCAGTTGCCTTCATCTCAAAATAATTCTTCTGTCAAGCCGGTATATTTGGGGGTGGCTTATTCTGATCCCCTTCATTAGTTTATTAAGTAAGAAAATGTTGAGCAAGGCTGAGCCCCACCAGGAAATTTGTACTAAACTCAGAATCTCAGTATGATGATCAGGTAGCCTTTGTGTATAAGCCACTTCCCAGGGTGCTGTCATGTTTATTATTTCATTTGTGTACATACACACACACACACACACACATACACCCTGTGAGATGAGTAGGTGTAATGGACAAAGCTGAGGTTTAAAGTCTTCTGATTCTTTTTCGGGAGCTTTTCTCTACAATGTATGGCCTCATGGGGGAAAATCTACAAACTCAAGAGCGAAAAAAAGCAAGGGAACATTGGTTACAAAGATAGACTGGCTGGCGTTAGTGAGGAGAGGCTGTTCACATTAGACTTATCTCATGTCACTAACTTACTGGTGACGCCAGGTGGCTTGAATTCTATTCTTAGTTTCTCTATTAAGTTTTGAATTTCAGAATCCTGAAGTTCAGCTACGCATGCCTCTTATTTTTGAGATGAGAGAACTAGGGCTTCAGGAAGTTATGTAACCAGTCGTGGAATCAAAACTAGCTAGTGGCTAAGCCAGAAAAATGTCCTCTGAGTTGCATTCCTCCCCTTACCCCACACCGTCTCATGTCATCATTTGCCATATTAAATAAATCCCTTAAGATTTGTGTACTTCAAGATCTCTACTTTTAAAAGAAACATATCGCCACTCTACTCAAGAAAGAGCTAAAATAATTTTTATAATACTAACATTACAATTAAAATATTAATGTTCAGTTACAGACATTAATAGGTTTAGACTAATTCATATTTTTTAATTATTTGATTTTATCTTTTCTTACAGGGTCTTATGGGCGATAACGTGATAGGACCAAAAGGAGAACAGGTAATATCAATACTATGGTTTATTTGTCCACAAGATATTTTAAGTTCCTTAGCAATCAAGTTACACATTTTATTCACTGAGTCACACTGAAATGAATCCGTTTGCTGTGTCTCAAGTTTCATTTGCTCTGTCTTCTTAAGAACAGAAGAGGAAGAGGAGATCTCTCAAGCATAATAGAGGTGACGGTATTTTGTTTTTGATTCCTGAGCACGTTTGTCTTTAGGGTGTGAAAGGATTAGCAGGACCGCCTGGACTACCAGGAACAGTTATTGTGACACTAACCGGCCCGGATAACAGAACGGTAACTCCTCAATTTTATTATTAGGGTTGTGCCTTCGCATTTCTGGGATGAGGTCCTTGTGATCCCTTACCTCTTTTATAAGCTCGGTTACCTAAGCCCAGCTCAGCCAGCCTGGGACTCTGGATTTTATTTCTTCCCCATCTCCGAATGGGGAACCGAAAAACATGAGATGGGGAAGATCCTGGGCAAGCAACTTCCAAGATCCTTGAAGGTAAAGCCTAGATCTAATGTCTCTCATCGTTTACCCCTCTCTTCTCATTGTTCCTAACATAAGGGTATTTAGTGACTAATTTTGAGTAAATTATAGCAAAATAGGCATATGGTTCTGATCCAGTTAGAGAGTAATGACCTAAAGCTATGGAAGGAGTGGTATCATAATCAAATGGGACACTTTTACCCCCAAGACAATGTGACCCCATTCCTCTCCAAGGACACTGCAACTCTGTTATTTTAACATTATCATTTGCTTTTTACTCCTTCTAAGGGGTAGCTAGAAGGACTAGTGAATGGAATTAAACTGAATGCTCAGAAGAAGTGAATCTCAATATAATACACCGATCCTAGACATTACGTTGATCCTGGAATGTCTGGGAGGGGGATGGGCAGTGAGGGGGGAGCTAACAGTTTCCTTGTGGATTAACTGAGAAATAAACATAAATCATCCTTCTCTTTTAAACTTATGATTGTTTTTAATAGCAGCATGATTGCAATATAATTCACATACCATAATTTTCACCCTTTTAAAGAATAAAACTCATGCATTCTAGTTATAATGAATTTTTAGCAGCATTATTGAGATATAATCCAGATGCCATAAAATTCACTTAGTGTACAATTCAATGGCTTTTAGTATTTCCATAGAGTTGTACAGCTATTATCACATGCAATTTTAGAACATTTTCATCACCCCAAAAAAAAACCCTTACCTATCACTCTCCAAAAATAATTAATTTTTAATGATAGAAATGATCAAAACAAAACTAACAAGAGGTAAAACAAAATATGGTGAAGTTTTATATGACCAAAGTAATAACTCTCATTGAAGATTGGGGGAAAAATTTGATCTGAGGAAAATAATTGAACTTTCCAGAGGTAATCAGCAAAAATAAAGTTAATAAAGCCTGAAACTTTATTGGCTGAAAATTGATAGGAAAAAAAAATCTTATCTTGACAAAATCAAGATCTGGAAGATTTGACCCAGGGGAAAAAACTGAGTTTGAAAAAAATGATGTCCTCAAGAGAAGGTTCACACTGGGAAAAAGATACATTTTTTTAAATTATATTTTTCAAAATATATGAAAAATATGAATAAAATGCAAAACAAACCTGATTAATGAATCAACTCCTCATTGTAACATTTACTCAAAAAATAATTGACCCCAGTGGAAATAAATTCAGTATATTAAAAATAAAAGTACAATACATTAGAAGTGATATAATTGTGCTTATAGAAAACTGATCCAACAATTCAATTAGTCTAATGTAGTTTAATCTAAAAGATACTTCCTTTTTAAAAATGTTTGTCCCCCCCACCAAAAAAATTTGGATTAACATTGTTTGTGTATTGTTTCAGTGGGTTCACGGGTATAAAATTCAAAATGTGAAAAATGACAATGTGTTGTGTTAAAAGGTGGTACATAAGTAGTTTGAAAATACAGTTCATTGAACAGATGGAGACCTTTTCCAAGTACAGTTGATGAAATCCGGCTTGATCTGTTTGTAATGACCTTAACTTGTTTTTGTGACAGGACCTCAAAGGGGAGAAGGGAGACCAGGGAGCTGTGGGCCAGTCCGGACCCCCTGGACCCTCGGTAGGTCACTTGGAATCATGTGGTTCCCTTGAAACTTACCGTAGAACCTTGGAGTGTATTTTGATGTATGATCTACCTTTAAATTTTTTTTTTGGTTTTATTAGGTAAGCAGAGCATTTGTTGTGATCAAGTTCACAATGCTTTTTTTTTTTAAATTGAAGGACAGTCCATTACAATGTGTCAATTTCTGGTGTACAGCACAGTATCCCAGGAAATCTTAAATCAGCTAAAGCATGTCAGTATTTTACTGCAGAGGTCATAAATACTAGAATTACTTTACGGCCACTTCGAGCTGAAACCCTTGCACTGTTTTCCATGCACCCAGCATCACCCATCTAGTGATTTTTATTCAGCATCTGCTTTTTACATAATATTTGTAAGTAAGATTTTCCTCTTAGATAACCCATCATTTCAACATTTTTAGAAGAGAAAAGGTGATTAAAAAAATCAATGTAGTGGGGAAGGTATAGCTCAAGTGGTAGAGCACTTGTTTAGCATGCATGAGGTCCTGGGTTCAACCCCCAGTACCGCCTCTAAATAAATAAATAAATAAACCTAATTGCCTTCCCCCCTCCCGGAAAAAAAAAATCAGTGTAAGTCAAAAATCAATCATTCATAAAACTTGACCAAACTCTCATTAATACAGGGACCACCTGGAGAATCTTACGGGTCAGAAAAAGGTGCTCCTGGAGAACCTGGCCCACAGGTACGTTTGGAAATTCAGTGTCATGTGCAGCCTAAATTAGTCAGTCCTTAGGGCTCTTTAGGAGGCAAGTATAAGATGCTTAGCTTAAACTAGCTTTGATTTTTTTTTTAAGTTTTAAAGATTTAGGCGGTGGAACTTATTTGTTCAAGTATCTGAGAAGTTCAAGGTTAAAACAGGCTTCCAGGACCCCAGAGCTGGAAACAATAGACAGGGCTCTCTCTCCATTTCACTTCTGCTCCTCGCTGTGTATCAGCCTCATTCTCTGCTTTGACAAAGGATCTTCATCCATGTAGAGGGTGATGGGGAGGAAGAGGAGGGCATAGAAGCAAAGGGGGCCCACTCTCCTACCCAGCTCTATTTTTGAAAGATTTAAACATGTGTATTGTTTAAAAACTCTAAAAATTATACAGTGAGAAAAGTACATTTTTTTCCCTAAGGAAAAATATTCAACTAATATTGTTGCCGAATCCTGGCCTCTGTGCCCGGACACCGAATTGAAATCCAGAGACAGAGTTTTGGCTGAAAAGAGCAGCTTTATTTCTTTGCCAGGCAAAGGTGATCACAGAGGGCTAATGCCTCAAGACTGCAAGCCTCTATTTGGGGATTGGCAGTAGGGAGTTTTACAGATGGAGTCCAAGGAACAGAGCTTCTGGTAAACACCTGTGAACGCACCAGGGCTGCATTCTTTCCTCCCCGCCTTGCATCAAGAAAACCTGGTGGCAGGGTCTCTTGTTCCTGTGGTTATCAGACCACGTCCTCCTCCTCCTCCAATGGGCCTCTGTCTGGGGTTTGTCTTCTGCACCAGGAGTTAACGAGTCATATCTCTGGACATTTCTGTGCCTGGAACAAAGGGTGCTTAAGGGGGAGGGCGAGTGCTCTAAGGAAGAGTCAGGCTAGAAAGTGCTTTAGCGTGAGGGAAGCCATGTTTTGGTTACCACTATCCGGGTACTTCAGAGAGGAACCACAGCAGAGGTTATGGGGACAGGTCTGTCCGAGGAAGACCCCACAGGGTCCTGCTTGGTTAGAATATGATTTTTAGTTTTATCATGGGGGATAAATACCATAATACTTAATCCAGGATGGCAGCTGCCGGCAGCAGTCTCATTGGGTAGGAAGCTCCCAGATATGACTGCCACCAGAGTCCATGACCCCAGAGTGAGAGGCAGCTGCACCCCACCCCCGCCCCACCTCTCCGGGAGACTCTCCAAGACCAGCAGGTCCAGCATCACACTCTTAATGCCTACTGTGCCTTTGAGGAATTTAGAAGGAGTGTCCGGTGGCTGCATTTCTTACTCAGCTCCTTAAGAAGTAAGCCACCTTGACAAGGGTCACTATTAAATAGAAGAGCATCAAGAAAAAACAGAAAGGCTAGATAGGAGGCTTTTTTGGACATCAAGCTGCATTCTAAAAAAAACAGCTTTGGGAATCAGATTTTAAATTGTGGCTATTCAGTGACCATGGACCATTAAGGCCTTAACTAGCTCTTCTGCAGAAACTGAGGCCCCCTCCCAGGTGGAGGGTGGTAACTTCAGGCTGAGCACCGAGTCCTGGAGCCCCGCCTTCTTACCTCACCTCCATCCAATCACAAGAAAGCTACACACCCTGTAGCCCTCGCCCCAAATTTTGCCTCTAAAAACTTTTCCCCTAACACCATCAGGGAGTTCAGGCTTTCTGAGCATTAGCTACCCCAGACTCTTTGTCTGGTGCCTTACAGTAAAGACTACACTTTCCTTCACCATGAAAACAAATAAACAAATAAATTTTTTAAAAAATCTAAAAAGGTGAACACTGGAATTTGACACAACACTGTAAAATGATTATGAATCAATAAAAAATGTAAAAAAAAAAATCTAAAAAGGTAATCCAAAAGCCCTGTCTGTTTGAACACTGCAAAAAACCTTTAATACATATATTTAGATATAAACGCCCCTAGAGTTCAGGGAGTTGCCAACATTGCAAATAAATAAATTGACTGTGAACACCTCACTCTTTCTGGGTTTTCCTGTTCCCTTCTCTGCTCAGTAATTCCTTGATTTTTCTTCCAAGCTTGGATGGGCAGTGTTAACTCTAGCCTTAACACTTAGTCTTAATTTCCTCTCTTCCTTCCATTGACCTGCCCTAATTTCCTACTCTGACCAGCTTCTGCCTTCCCTGGCGAGAGACGGTCATCACATCATCTGTGATTAATGGTTTTTACTTCTAATAACTGGGTGAGAAACCTCCGTCAGGCTTTCTTGCCTAAGGTCAAGAGATGATCATACCGTTTAGGTTTTCCATGCTTATTTAAATTATCTTTATTTTTTATAGTATGTGGAGGAAAGGGAATCATGTACCCTGTTGGTGGAAATGTAAATTGGTGCAGCCACTGTGGAAAACAGTATGGAGATTTCTCAAAAAACTAAAAATAGAACTACCATATAACCCAGCAGTTCCACTCTTGGGCATATATATCTGAAAAAAACAAAAACACTAATTCAAAAAGATACATGCACCCCAATGTTTATAGCAGCATTATTTATGATTGCCAAGGTATGGAAGCAACCTAAGTGTCCATCAACAGATGAATGATAAAGATGATGTGGTATATGATGAATACCACGGAATACCACTCAGCCTTAAAAAGGAGTGAAATTTTGCCATTTGCAGCAATATGGATGGACTTGGAGGGCATTATGCTAAGTGAAATAAGTCAGAGAAAGGCAAATACTGTATGATATCACTTATATATGGAATCTAACGAATACAACAAACTAGTGAATATAACGCAAAAGAAGCAGACTCACAGATAGAGAGAACAAAATAGTGGTTACTGGTGGGGAGAGGGGAGGAGAGAGGGGCAAGGTAGGGGCAGGAGAAAAAGAAGGGGTTATATGAAATTGCTTGTGTGAAACACCATAGAATTTAAAGAATCTTTCATTCAATTAAAAAAAATTTTTTTAATAAAAATTTATCCATATTTATTAAATTACGTGCTTTTGTTTTGTTTCTGTTTTAGGGAAAGCCTGGAAAAGACGGTGCCCCCGGGTTCCCTGGCGCTGAGGTGAAGACTTTCCTACTAGACAAAGAGGGGTTTTTGAGAATCGCTAAGCAGTCTTAAGCTTTAAAAAGTCCATAGATTTAAAAAATTACATTAGAGAATCATAGCATTACGACTTCATAGTGGGGAGAGAGCATCTGAGTGCTTTTTTTTTTTTTCCCAAAAAGGAGTTTAAAGCGCCCTGCTCCCTGCAGGAGAAATCAGTTACGGTGTGTCTTCTGACCCATTCCCTGTGCTCTTCTCTTTAGGGAGCCAAAGGCAACAGGGGCCTCCCTGGCTTAGCGGGTGAGGATGGCATTAAGGTAATTCCCTTTCTAGCATTTGTCTTTAACCTCTTTTTTCTGATTGGTTGGCTTTTACCCACCTATCATCCCTGCCTCCCCCTGTCCTGAAACTAGATACAAGGAGCTGCAGTCAGGGGTCACTAAAATACCTTAGCAGGTTTGTTAAGAAGAAGCGAGAGAGGCGGCAACTTGATTTAAACGCTTGAAGGGCGGTCCTGTGGGAGACGGGTTAAACCTGTCTGTGTCAGAAGCTGTCTGACTTGGGACCAGTGAGATTTCAGCTCCCCATGAGGAAGGGGAGAAAAGGCCTACAATTGCAGGAAGTTTCTAGTCCTCGGAGGTCAAGGGTCAGGTCCTTGGAGGCTAAGGGTAGGCTGGACCCTCTGAGTCTCAGCCCAGGTCCCGAAGTACTGAAAGGTCGTCACCAGTTAATCGTGACCTGTATCCCCCATCATTTGTTTCTGACAGCACATTACAGACACTTACAAATAACTGTCCTATGTAGGTATATGGGCAGATTCAAGTGTTTTTTCCTATAGTAATATCACTTCCAGTAGAATTCTGAAATGCCCTCCTGAGTAGGTGAGAAAGGAGGCTGATTACCGCTGGGACACTAGGAATTGCCTACAGCTCACAGCCTGGTTTTCCTGTGTCTCTCGTCTGGGTGAGAACAATGGAGTGTGCAGTGATGTGAACATCCTTTGAAGGGAGTGTCATGGAAGAAACCTAGGAAACCACTAGAACATCAGTCATTTCCTCCTGACCCTGTAGACAGGATTCCTGACTCAGATCTGACCCCCCAGGAAGATAATCAAAAGTCAATATCCCTTTCACGTTAACTTGGTTTGCACATCACGTAGAAACAACATCCCCTCAGCATGAATTTATTTAACTGTCCATTTTGCCTTTTAAGTGTACTTAATATGCAAATACTTTTGATTAATGGACTCATAATTTGTCACTGCCTTTCTACATAGGGTTGGAAAGGAGACATGGGCCCTACAGGATTTCGTGGTCCAGTAAGTGTAAAGATAATATTAATGTCATGTTTGATCAGGTCTTTCAAAGAATCAAGGAAATTTTCAATCAGTGTCTCCTGTTAATTGCTATGATAGACATTATAATACTTACCTTTTAATCAAACCTAGATTAAAAAAAAACAGCTATTGTCATTATTTGTCCATTTGACAATGGACCATTATTTTTATTGGGTCCTATTGGGTCTCTAGAATGTGCTGGGAATGCCCATCCTGGGCTACAGAGAAGAAAACCTTTGCCTGATGAGACCTGGACCGAGGTGGTCCTATGCCCTTGAGTAGAGCAGAGGGCTGCAGTGAAGGATGGCTGGGGGCACCAGAGTGTCCAGGGATTTGATGGACCAGCTCCCCGCCTTCTCTAGCTGAGCCCAGTATGACAGCCCTGCACTTTGAGCAGCAGAAGTTCAACCATGTGTTTAATGCAGGGCCAGCCAAAACCAATGACTCCAGCCCAAACCCCATCGCTGCAGGCAATCTCCCCTCCCCAGAGTGGACATGGATTTGATGTTGGTCAGCTCCTGACTGCGGGGTTGGGCTCCCCAGAGTGGACATGGATTTGATGTTGGTCAGCTCCTGACTGGCGGGGGGTGGGGGGGGTGACGGGGGGTGGGGCACGTTCTAGGTAGTGACTCTGTAGCTTAAGGAGATGAGTGAAAAGAACCCAGACTCCGAGTTCTGATAGCTTCCTCTCCCGCTGCAAAAGACAGTGGTTCTGACAACACATTACAGACATTTTACATTCCATTCAGTGTGCAGAGCAGAGCTGCCATTTATGATTGTGCAGGTGGGACCAAAAAGTCCATGGTGGCAAAGGAGTCGTTGGGGAAGTGTGTGTGTGTCCTATTACACATGCAGTTCTCAAACCTTTCAGGGTTAGTAATTTAACTCAGTAGCTGGAGGAGGGTCCCAGAAATCGGCATCCTTACACTGCAAGAAAATGATTCAGATGCAAGTAGTCTTAATTAGGGTTGCTGGGAAGATGGAAGAGGCTATTCTGTGCAAGTACTTAGCCAACACTTGGCAGGTGCACACATGTCCTTGTGGATTTTATGATGGAGATTGTTATGTTGTTATTATTATTATGAATCCTTTTTTGTGCTTTTATACATGTTGCTTTTTATTGGCATACAGTTGGTTTACAACATGTTAATTTCTGGTGTACAGCATAGTGTTTTAGTTATACATAAATATATATTCCTTTTCATATTCTTTTTCATTATAGGCTATTACAAGGTATTAAATATAGTTCCCTGTGCTATACAATAGGACCATGTTGTTTATCTATTTTATATATAGAAGTTAGTATCTGTAAATCCCGAACTCCCAATTTATCCGTCCCTACCCCCTTTCCTTCGTGGTTACCATAAGTTTGTTTTCTATGTCTATGAGTCTGTTTCTGTTTTGTGAATAAGTTCATTTGTGTCTTTTTTTTTTATTCCACATGTAAGTGATATCACATGGTATTTTTCTCTTTCTGGCTTACTTCACTTAGTATGACACTCTCCAAGTCCATCCATGTGGCTGCAAATGGCATCATTTTATTCTTTTTTATGGCTGAGTAGTATTCCATTGTATAAATATACCACAACTTCGTTATCCAGTCCTTTTCCCTGTGGACATTTAGGTTGCTTCCATTATACATGTTGCTTAACCACAAAACTCTTGTTACCTCATATTTAAACAAATCAGTGAAGTAACTGGCCCCACGCAGCATGTAAAAAAATAAAGTTAAAAAAAAACTTTGATATTTTCCTCTTCTTTCCATCAAGATAAATGTACTGAATTATAAATGAGATTTGTTTTCCAGTTGTTCTTTAGAGAAATTCTTAGCATTCCTAGCTTACTGTGTGTTTTCTTTGCTTTATTCCCCATAACTTTGTAGCTTCAGCTAACTTCAGAGGAAGTTCTGTGTATGGATGGTTAAGGAGACCAGCCATAGTTCCACTGATCATGGCAGAAAAAGTAGTCTTCAGTGCCTGATGGGGTCCTGAAATTTAAAGAAATAATCAATAAAGCATTTTCTGATGTGTAGGTCCTAACATACTTTGAAATAATTTAAGTCCACAGGACAAGCATTTTTTTTTAAAGTGAAATAAAGTAGAATAAAAATACCAGAGTTGATCATATGGTGTAGTAAGTTACTATTTTGTGAAACTTTGATTTCTGCATAAACATTCACACATACATAGGTATGTGTATATATATATGTATATATATATTTTTAAATGTCAGTATGTGATTTGGGCCACATCATAAAATGGATTTCAAATTGAAAGCCTATGAAATGAATGATATCATGACACAAGAGCAATTTTTATTTTTAAATTTATCCATCCTAGAAACCTAACTATCCTATCCTTCTAACACATAAACCTGTGAATTCAGACAAACAAGGAAAGTATCATTTTAAGCCAAAAAGGAAGAAATGGAAGTAATTGCATTTGGTGAATTGTCTGTAAAAGGCCACCTTTCCTCTTTATTCATTGCTCTTTCCTTTAAGACAGAATATTATGAGGCATACCAGGAGAAGGGAGAAGAAGGGATTCCAGGCCCACCAGGGCCCAAGGGAGCTCGTGGCCCACAGGGTGAGAAAAAAATTTCTTCCTAAAGCTTGCTGATCATTCCATGTCTTTCTTTCAAGGCAAAATGTGTAGTATGTGTTTATTGACCTAGAATTTACAAAAGAGGAGAGATCTCCTAATTTTTATAGGTGGTAGTATTTTTTGATGTCTCCTAATTTTCATATTTTGTAAGAAAATTCCATAGGTGATATACCATTGAAGGTAATTAAGTTATCTCTCTGCAGGAAAGCATAAAGTTCAAGTCTGGTAAGAAGACACTAACACGGTGGGAGGGCAGGAGGAGGGAGTATGTGAAACCAGCAACCTCAGTGGGATTATGAAAGAGAAAATGGAGACGAAAAAGCTCTAGTTTGAGCAAATCCACACAAATAGTGACAGGGGAGACTGAGGCCCTGGTTTCCTAACTTCTGACACCATAAATTAAAGTCACATTTACTTATATTCTATCCTTTTTGATAAATTGGAAAGATCCAGGCCAATAGCTCTTCTCTCTCACTATGCATTAAAACCCCCGGAACTTCTAAATAAGAACCATGCCAAGGTCCCAACCCTCTGATTCTGATTTAACTGTCTGGAGGAGGGCCCTAAGTACTGGCAGATCGTAAAAGCTCCCCAGATTAATTCTGACGGCAGCAGGATTGAGAACCACTGATCCAGGCAAATTATTGATATACACAAGATTTCAAAGGTGAATTTTACTTAAAACGGTAAACATTCCCAATGTATTTAAACAAATGGACAGATAAGTATGGCATAGATTTTTTTAAATTGGATAATGCTCATTTTAAATCACTTGAATGTGTCAAAGAATTAGAACCCTATGCAGTGTTACAGCTGGAAGCAATCTGAGATGG